TCACTAACTTTTTCTCATTCCCAATTATTCATGTATACAATTTTCCCTCACTAAATTTCTTGCAATTATCCTCTAAATTGTATTTTTTTTTAGTAGTGTGACATACTCATCCAAGTAACCAGGTCTTTTCTTTTTGTCTTGGAGGAAACTCTTTTCTTCTGTTGCACTTTGCTCACTTTCACTTAGTTTCCTCTGTTGCACTTTCCTCACTTTCACTTTCTACGTTGTTCCTTTAGTCTTGAGGAGCATCTTCAATGTGCATGTCTTCATCTGTTGAAGCATAATTAGATTCATCATTTTCCTCTTCACTATCAATATTGCTACTTGCTTCAACATTATTTTTCTTGTGACTTTTATTCCCCGCCCAACCTTTTGATTCCTCATATACTACCTTACTGATTATCGAAATTTTCTTCTCTATTTGACCATATAGCTTGTAGGATTTGGATTCTTTACTCATTCCAAAATGCACACACTTGATGCTTTTGACTTCTAGCTTCTTTCTTTCCACATCAAAAATGTGCACAAAATATATACATCCAAACACCTTGAATTGATGAACTGAATGTTTCACACCACTCCATGCTTCCTCGAGAGTCATGTCCTTCATAGATAGAGTAGGAATTATGTTGAGTACATAGGTTTCCTACTTTAATTCTGTTCTGGTCTGGGCCCAGCCTCGCGGTCCAGCCCAATAACGCACAAGGCCCAATAAGTGGAACAGCTTGACCGGGCACACTCCCTCTGAGGACGGGCAGGATACGCTCCCCGGCAAGCGGAATGGCACATCTCGAAGCGTCCTCGGCGCCCCCCTGTTAGCCGAACGGAGGGCCCTCCGCGGGCGACACTCCCCGTGCCATCGGGCAAGAACCCTTGGTTCTCCCACGTCCTCGCGTGCTCCCCTCCGCGGGGAGAACGACACACCTCCGGGGAACCTCGCGAGCTCCCCTCCGCGGGGACATGTCACCAAACAACTGCCCACCTCCGAAGAGCAGGTCAAACCCACTTTCCGGAGATCTCAGGACAGTTGGACTAGGGCGAAGATCCAGCCCAACGCAAGTGACCGTTGGCCCAGCGCTGGGGTCTCTCTATAAATACCCTCTTCCTCAAGAGGGTCAGGTAATTCACTTCTCACCCATTTTCTGTGCTTTACTCTCACTCTGCCCAAATTTTTACTTTGACATCGGAGTGTCTTGCAGGTACACCCCACTCTTCTTCCTCATCACCGGCGAACAGGTAACCGTCCAACCGTGTGTGGCCAGTCCGTGATCCCCTCCTGATCAGGTCAGATCAAATTCTTTATGCCAAACATTCTTAGGAACATTCCTTTCTGCCATCATGTTTCTGATCATATTCATTAGTGTTTTGTTCTCTCTTTTTGATACTCCATTTTGCCGTGGAGTGTAGGCAATGATAAATTGTCTCTTGATGCCATAAAGACCGCAAAAATCAATAAATGCAGTGGATGTAAATCCAGCCCTCTATTTGTCCTAAGACATTTAACATGATATCCCGATTCTTTTTCCACTAGTGCCTTGAATTTTTTGAAAATATCAAATGAACTAGCTTTTTCATGCATGAAGTAAATCCAGATTTTCCCACTAAAGTCATCTGTAAAGGTTATTAAGTACCTATTTTCACCATTGGATCCCGCTTTGATATGTCCAAACGTATTTGAATGAACCAACTCAAGCTTTGTCTTGACTCTCCATGATTCACATTTTGACATGGTTTCTCTACCTTACTTTCTCATAAAGCAATCACATCAAGTTTCTTCATTTCCTTCAACCTTGGCATCCCTTTCACCATCTCCTTCTTGATCAATTTGTCAAGTCCCTTGAAGCTCATGCAACCATATCTACAGTGCTACATTTGTGTGTCATCCTCTGTAGTGGCTTTCAGGCACATTGGTAGGATCACAGATGCAATAACTACAAATATCCAGTTGGATGAGATTTGAGTGGATATGATTAAACCCTTATCATTGTGAAGCACTTTGCAACTTCCATTCTTGGCTTTAAGATCTTTGAGCTTGCTCTCTTTTTCAATCTTGTGTTGTTCTAGTGTGGTATCTGTTGGAGCAACATTAACTCCATTTCCACCAATTTTCAATATTCTTTGGATCGAAAAAAGAGTCTTCATGAGCATTTACCAGTGATTGTAGAATCCATCGAACTTGAGAATTGCAAGGGTTGCAAACTTTGAGGAATCCATCGTGGAAAGAGCTTGAATGGTGTAACACAAGAGATATGAAGATAACAAAATTACCAAAATTTCCGCCTTACATAAAAAATTGTGTTTCTTATTTATCTCAAAAACAGGACCATGAGATAGACTATTGATACGATACCACTTGTTAGTACAAATGGAAGTATCATCTCGTTTATTGATATGTGAATGATCCTTATATACAACATAGCTATGTAGAAACCACCATAAATAAATCACTAACTACGAACAAACACATCACCAGAAACCATCTAATACAATGATTAACACAATTTATATAGATGATCTCTGATTAATGATACATATATCACTCTTTTAAGTTAGTATTTCACATTTTACTTTTATGATAAAAGTCAATACATATATGATAAAAGTAGTTTAATATAATTATTTATTGATTCCAAAGAATTTAGCTTATTTATTTATACATTTTTTTTTTAAAAAGCAAAAGAATTTATTGATAATAAGACATAAGATATGCCAATACAATCAGTTTAACCACCAAGTTCGGGATGGATTGGTGTGGTTCCTCTACGCCTAGGACACCAGAATATCGAACCATAAACGAAAGACACGAGATAAAAGCATATTTACTTTTCATTGTGTGAGGTCCTAATTCTTGACTGGAGAGGACACCAAAGGCCTCTGCCCTTTCATCCCTATCTATTCAAGGTGTGGGGGACAGAGGTTCTGATCGGTCTGTTAGGATGACTCAGCTGCATACATTACTGCACTTGAAGGACCAAAAAAAAGTCTCCAACTAGTGCCACCACACCTAAAAATACTGCTAAAGAAACTGATAAAAAAAACCACCAAAACACACTCCATCAAGCTAGCAGAGAAACGACCACTGCATAAACTAGCACCAAACAATGAATTTAAAACACACTGCACTAAACTATTAAAGAGAACTTCGTTGAATTTAAAACAAAAACTCCAGCCGCCACACCTAACACCATGATACCATAAAAGACACACTACACCTCTAGAACATAAAGACCAATACGGAACCTTGCCGGACAAGATCTCCAGACGGAAGCCAAAAACTAACTGATAAAGAGCAATCCTGAAAACTCATGGCCAACCAGATACTGAAAAATGCATGGGACAACATAACACTGACCAAGAAAAAATCAGTACTCCATCACATGCCCAAGAAATAACTGATCCAGGTACTGAAATCCATCACCAAGTGCATGGAAAAACAGCACCATGATTTCCCAACAGCATCACCAACAACAAACAGACACAATAGACTGCTAACACGCTGTTACCGAAAACCTCAACACCATGATGGCATTACACGTTACAGACCACTAAGCAAACTCCCACACCAGAGAAATAAAGCAGCATATAGCTAGGCCAAAAAGGATGATGCACATGCACAAATAAACTTACCAAACCCCTACTGCAAGCAAAACAGACCATAGATAGCACACAAAGGCCTAATTGAATCCACATCCATAACGATGATCAGCTCAACTGAGAGACTGAGACAATACTGGAAATCGAAACACTTGCCACACACACCCAAATAAAATTTCTACGCTCTTGATAGAAGGCACCTTCAGACTCCCACCAGACCTGAATCAACGACCAACACCACCAATAAGATAAAACTCGAAGGCACTTGGATCAGCAAAAACGCAAAGACACATGCGCGAGAAACTGTTGCACCTAATTTGCTGAAGAAAAGCACGAAGTTCATAGCATTCATCCTAACCCCTCCAACCCTTGACTAGTCCACACCTTAAAGGCGAGAACCTACCCAAGGATAATCCTCAGATTCACATACCATTGGATCAAACTGCAGCTGAGGAACTTGTATTTGCCTCTCAACCAATTCCAAGATAGTCTTTGAGCAATATCGAATATCCTCTCGGACGATTCAACCTTGTTCTTGAAAATAATATTATTTCTTACCTTACAAATGCTCCAGATGCCCGCGATCCAAATCACTCTGACCTTTTTAATGATCTTTCTACCACACCCGGTGATGGATTCAAACAACTTGAAATGCTCCCAGCTGTCTCTAGGAAGAACAGATGATACTCTAAACCACCTCAAAATCTTTTGCCATATACCTGCAAAATTAGAACACTTAAAGAAAAGGTGTGATGCCGACTCGGCCTCTCCGCACCTGCCAACACAAAGATTATTGTCTTTGCAAGCTCGTTTGCCTACTAAGTTTTTTTAATTCCAACCCACCTTCTCTTAACGGTGAACAAATAAAATTTCATTTGATCCAATTGATTTTCCTTCCACTCACTAAGTCACCCAAAAAAAAGTTTAAAAATAAACTCAATTTAAAAAATAATATCTATAGGAGCTTTAAAAATATACATTTAATTAATTGCATCAAACAATCAATTGTATCGGTTATTTTGGGAAGGAGGAGAACTAAAGTAAGGGAGTAGATTAATACGTGTCCCTTTCATTTGACACACACAGGGAACTCTGTCTCATGTTCACTGCCGTCACTCTCACAAAACGCTCTTGGATATTTTTTGTGGCCAATAATATACCCACATAATTCCTGATTTTCTCCCATCTCTATGCCTTTATCTCTTCCGAAAATCATAGGTTATCCCAAAAACACTAACAAAAAAGATAGTGAAAGTCAACTGCTGTCCCCGCAAGCCTAATTTGGAAACTGGAAAGTCATCGTCAAGATTTTCATCAACAAACCAAAACTCCCAATTCCCTTTTGTTTCTGCCTATTTTCAATTGGTGGCACCTCTCTGATTCTCCGGCAAAACAGGATCTAACTCATGAATTTGTTTTTCGTACTTACATTGATTGGTTGTAGCTCATGGGCAGTTTGTAGCAGCTCAAGCTGCAAACCTATAAACATTAATGACTTTCGACCACACAGCGTCAGTATTACCGAATTTGGAGCAGTTGGCGATGGGATCACTCTCAATACAAAGGCATTTCGGAATGCCATCTTCTACCTAAATTCATATGCCGACAAAGGTGGAGCCAAGCTTTTTGTCCCTGCTGGCAAGTGGTTAACCGGTAGTTTTGATCTCATCAGCCATCTGACTTTGTCGTTGGACAATGATGCGGTAATTCTTGGATCAACGGTAAGAGATTCATAGTAAATAAAACTTGCTCTGTTTCTTAATATAAGAAAAAATTTACTTTTGAGTAATTAATGTATTTGAATAACATATACTCCTGAATCCTGATACATTGGTTATTCGATGAATCTAAAAAAGTCTTATATTAAGGATCAGAGAAAATATAACAGAAACGCAAGGAAAATAAAGTTTAGTACAGATGCTAAATGTGTTATTGTTTTTATTCTATCCTTCCATATATGTTCCAGAACTCTGAAGATTGGCCGGTTGTGGATCCTCTACCATCATATGGTAGGGGAAGGGAGTTGCCGGGTAGACGACATAGAAGCCTCATTTACGGGCACAATTTAACTGATGTCATCATAACAGGTTGATAATATTCTAGGAAGAGTAATCTTCTATTGTATACATATTTTTTTGTATATTGATTTCATTTGGTGTCCCAATGAAGGTAACAATGGAACTATAGATGGTCAAGGGAATATCTGGTGGGGCAAATTTCGTAACAAAACATTGAACTATACACGCCCTCATTTAGTCGAGTTGATGAATTCAACGGAGGTTCTCATTTCAAATTTAACCTTTTTGAATTCGCCATTTTGGACTATTCATCCTGTATATTGCAGGTTTGTTCCCTTTCTTTAGTCATTCCCATTTTAAAACCGCACAATAGTAAAAGCTTTCATGATTGTGGCCTATGGAGAGATCTGAGACTATTTTTCGACTATTTTTCTGGATGGACAGACATGTTATAGTTCAGAATGTCACAATCCTTGCCCCTCTTAGTTCACCAAATACAGATGGGATTGATCCAGGTGAGTTTTCTTTGCTAGGCTAGAAAGCCATATTGACAATGCACAAATATTCTAGATTGATCTTCAAATATTTAATGTTTATCCAGTTTTGGTGTGATATTGAGTTCATGTCACAAATAGTTTTAAAGGGAAATTTTCATAACACTCGTCCGATTCTCATAATATATCTTTTAATTGTGTTCAGATTCTTCCAATGATGTATGTATTGAAGACTGTTATATAAGCACCGGGGATGATCTCATTTCGATCAAAAGTGGATGGGATGAATATGGAATTTCATTTGGCCGACCAAGTACAAACATTATCATCCGCAGGCTCACTGGGAGGACAACGAGTGCCGGAATCTCTATTGGAAGTGAGATGTCTGGAGGTGTTTCAGAAGTTCATGCAGAAGATATTAACATTTTTGATTCCCGTAGTGCAATTCGAATAAAAACTTCTCCCGGCAGAGGCGGTTACGTTAAAAATGTTTATATCTCTAACTTGACTTTGGTTAACATAGATATTGCTTTTAGGTTCTCTGGTTTATACGGAGAGCATCCAGATGACGCGTTCGATCCAGATGCTCTACCTGTGATAGAAAGGATTACTATCAAAGATGTGATAGGGAAAAACATCACACGCGCGGGTCTTATACAAGGTATTAAAGGTGACAACTTTGTCAATATTTGTCTATCGAACATCACTCTTAATGTAAGCAAGAAAAAACCATGGAACTGCTCGAACATTAAAGGATACTCTGAATTGGTTTCTCCGGAAGCTTGCGTGCAACTCAATGAGAGAATACTCCCCGATCATTTTTCAGACTGTTATCAGTTACCAGATCTCGTTAAGAGTTCGAGTAGTCGCTACAGGGCTGCTTGGTTGCTGTCTTGGTAGGTTTTGGAATTGTAAACATTATGCTATCAAAGTTCTCTTGTGCCTGAAATTTGATTGGTGGGTTTCCTTTAGAAAGATAAATTTTACCTGACCTAAGAAGTGAAATGTTGTGTTGTAAGAACGATATCAAATCTATAGATGATTGTTTATTGTAACTTGTGTGTGTGGTAACAAATAAACCAGTGATTTAACAGAAATATTGTAATTTGTAACTTGTGTTTGAATCATTGAAATGTAATATAAACATCTATGAATGTTAATGATCTCTCGGACGAGGAAGGTTTGCAGCTGATTTTGCTTCTAGAATCTCTGATACAGCTGCGGACCCCGAAGGTGGAGTTAGCAACTTGCAGCCCACTATTCCTAATATTGATAGGCCCATTTGTACTAAGAAGCTTCCTTCAAAATATCAAGATCACATACTTTATTAAATGAGTATTTGTTTTATTTCTAGTTATTTCTATTACTTGTTTCTGCTTGTTTCTAGAAGGCTATGACTCAGCCAAAGTTTGTTAGTAGTGCCTTGCTGTGGTGTAAGTTTGTTAGTAGTGCTATTCAAAACTATATAAGATGTACTTGCTCATTGTGCTAAGAAAAGGAAAAATCATTGCAGAAAATTATCTCTCTTCCTCTCTATTCACTGCTTTAGGAGGTTTTGCTCAGTCCTTAAAACTGAGCACTATCATTTGGTGCTTTCATTGTGTTGAATTCCTCCTCCATCCATGACTTCCCGTCCTCCCCCACCTGATCCTGTAGCTGATCTCGCTCGTCAAGTTGTCATTCTCACCGCCAAACTTGAAGCTATGCACAAACGTTTTGAGGATACATCATCTCCCAGTGCATCCCGTTCCAGTCCAGATTCACACCACCGCCCTCGTCTCAAATTAGACGTTCCTCGTTTCGACGGAACTGATACACATGGTTGGATCTTCAAGATCTCACAATTCTTTACTTATCACCAGACACCTGATGAGGAACGCATCACCATTGCTTCCTTTTATCTCGACGGTCCAACCTTGGCATGGTATCAGTGGGTGTATCGGAATCGTCAGATCGCGTCGTGGGCCCAATTTTTGGAGAAATTAGAATTCTTTTCGCTCCAACTGCATTTGACGATCCTCGCGGTAACCTTTTTAAGCTTACCCAATCTTCTTCTGTGACGACGTATCTCACTAAATTTGAAGCTCTCGCAAATCGCCTCGAAGGTTTATCTGAAGTTGATCTTCTCAGTTGTTTCATTTCTGAGTTAAAGATCGATGTTCGTCGTGAGGTCTTGGCTCAACAACTAACAACCATCTCGCAGGCTTCTGGTCTTGCTCGTTTGCAAGAGGATAAGTTGAAAGACATTGCGTTTTCTTCGCGTCCTCGACCGTCGCCACCATGCCAATCTGCTTTGGGGCCTCGTCCTTCACCCAAGCCCTATTTTGATTCCTCTTCCATGGTGAAACCCTCCCAAGGCCTTCTTCCCACGCCACCAGCAAAGCCCCGTTTTCGGCATCTCTCCGGGGCAGAACTCGATGAACGACGTCAGAAGGGTTTGTGCTTCAATTGTGATCAACCATGGTCCAAACAACACAAATTTGGTGGTCGTTTGTTTTTAATGGTTGCTACTGATGAGGATTTTTCTTCTACGCTCGGTGAATTAGAGTCAGTGGCGGCAGAATTGATTGACGGCGTTGTTGCATCGGAGGAACTCTCTGCTCATGCAACACAGTTAAGTTTACATGCTCTTTCTGGGGACCAAGCTGCTGACACATTTCGCATCTTGGGTCGAATCTCCTCTAACCCGATTGGTGTTTTGGTGGATGGGGGCAGTACCCATAATTTTGTCAAGGATACTATTGCTTCTGCTTTGGGCCTCCCCTTGGACCCAATTGATCCATTCAAACTTTTAGTTGGCAGTGGACAAGAATTAGTGTGCTCCCATATTTGTCATGAGGTGTCAATAGTTTTACAAGGCCATTCATTCACTATGAATCTCTTTGTCTTAGGCTTACGTGGTGCGGATGTTGTGTTAGGGGCCAAATGGTTGCGGGGGTTAGGCCCAGTTTTAATGAATTACAATCTCCTTACTATGACTTTTTTCCATAACAATTCAAGTGTTGAGTTGAAGGGAGATTCACCAACTTGTCCTATAGGCTTTCACCAATTCCAACGGATCACTAGAATAGACCCTGAGGCCCAATTATTTTCCCTCCATGTCATCGGTACACATGACACCCAATCGAATTTTTCTTCCCAACCAGATACACTAAACCTTAACCCTGAGTTCACCTCCCTCCTCACCAAATACTCCCACCTTTTCTTTGAACCCTCCACACTCCCCCCACCTAGACCAAATGACCATAAAGTTCCCCTCGTATCCCAATCCACACCGGTCAATGTTCGACCTTACCGATACCCCTACTCACAGAAGCTTGAGATAGAATCTCAAGTAGGCAAATTATTGAAAACTGGGTGGATACGACCTAGCACAAGTCCTTTTTCTTCCCTTGTTCTTCTCCTAAAAAAAAGAATGGATCCTGGCGTATGTGCGTAGACTACCGCGCTTTGAATGCTATTACTGTCCCTGATCGATTCCCCTTGCCTACCATCGATGAATTATTGGACGAGTTAGGAAAGGCTAGGGTGTTTTCAAAATTAGATCTAACTTCTGGCCTTCATCAGATACGATTATCCCCTGCAGACATTTCGAAAACAACTTTTCGCACACATGATGGGCACTACGAATATCGTGTTATGCCGTTTGGCTTATGCAACGCTCCAGCAACTTTTCAAGCTACTATAAATGATATTTTTCGTGATCTACTTCGCAAGTCCGTTATTGTTTTCTTCGATGATATCCTGGTTTTCAGCACCACTTTGGACACACACCTTGGTCATTTGTCACAGGTATTTGATATCTTAGATAAGCATCAGTTTCATTTAAAACCAACGAAATGTTCTTTTTTCCAAAGTCATATTGCTTATTTGGGTCATATTATGGCTGAGGGGACCGTGGCACCCGACCCTTTGAAGTTACAAGGAGTAGTTGATTGGCCAACTCCTAAATCCGTGAAGAGCTTGCGTGGTTTTCTGGGCCTGTCCGGGTTTTATCGGAGATTTGTTCACGGTTATGCTACTTTGGCTCATCCTTTAACTTTCTTATTGAAAAAGAATGCTTTTGAGTGGTCCACCTTGGCTCAACAAGCTTTTGACAAGTTGAAGGTTGCTTTAGCTACGACACCAGTTCTTGCCTTGCCGGATTTTTCTCTGCCGTTCATTGTGCAGACTGATGCCTCGGCGCATGCTATGGGAGCTGTTTTATTGCAGAATGATTATCCTATTGCGTATTTCAGCAAGCTATTTTGTCCTCGTCTTTCCCAGACTTCCACTTACATACGTGAGCTTCATGCCATCACTTGCGCTGTGAAGCATTGGCGTCAATACTTACTGGAAAATTATTTTGTGATTCAAACTGACCATCGTAGCTTGAAGGAATTGCTGACTTAAGTGATTCAAACTCCTGAGCAATAATTTTATTTGTCTAAATTATTGGGTTACCATTATGATATTCATTACAAGCATGGAAAGACCAATACGGTGGCTGATTCATTGTCTCGCAGTTGTGAGCCTCCTGTTGTTGAGTTGCATGTGCTCTCCACACCTCAATTTCTGTTTATTGATGATTTACGCAAATATTTGAACTCAGATGCTGATTATCAAGCACGTTGCCAACAAGTTGAATTTGATCCTTCACTTGCTCCGGGTTATTCTGTATCGAATGGTTTATTGCTTCACAAAAGGCGCATTTGGCTTCCTTCTACGTCTCGTTTCAAGATGTTATTGCTCAAGGAATATCATGAAACTCCTATAGGAGGCCACGCCGGTGTGGTCAAAACCCTCAAACGCCTCTCTGCAAATTTCTGTTGGCCTTCTATGCGCCAAGACATCAAACAATTTATACGAGAATGTGCTACCTGTCAGCAGACTAAGTACCTCACCAGCAAGCCTGGGGGATTGCTCCAGCCACTCCCCATTCTAGTGCACATTTGGAAGGACATTTCGTTAAATTTTGTCACAGGGTTGCCCACTTCTAATGGGTTCACTGTTCTACTTGTCGTGGTGGATCGCTTCTCTAAATATGTGTATTTGGGAGCCTTGCCCACTCATTTCACAGCTTATAAAGTGGCTAATCTTTTCGTTAACATTGTCTGCAAATTGCATGGTCTACCTCGGAGCATTGTCTTCGATAGAGATCCGATTTTTGTTAGCAAATTTTGGTCCGAATTGTTCAAGTTCAGTGGTACTTTGCTTCGCATGAGCTCATCTTACCATCCTCAAACAGATGGACAAACGAAGGTCACTAATCACACTATTGAACAGTATTTGAGGGCCTTTGTTCATCATAAACCTTCTCTTTGGCATTGTTATCTCCCTTGGGCAGAGTATCATTATAATACATCATTTCATTCGTCGGCTGGGATGACACCTTACCAGGTAGTTTATGGTAAGTCTCCTCCTTCTATCCCATCGTATGTGACTGGCACATCTGAATTAGCTGCATCTGATGAATTGTTGAGTACACGAGAGGCGGTATTGGAATTACTCAAGAAGAATTTGGCTAAGGCTCAGACCTGAATGAAATCCATTGCTGACACCAAACGTCGAGAGGTGAATTTTGAGGTCAATTCATGGGTTTATGTCAAGCTGCAGCCATATTGCCAAATCTCTCTCTCTCTGGTATTAAGTATAATAAGTTGCACAAGAGGTATTATGGTCTGTTTTGCGTGTTGGCTCGCGTTGGACCCATCCCTTATAAACTAGAACTCCCTTCACATTCAAAGATTCATGATGTTTTCCATTGTTCACTTTTGAAGCCACACGTGGGTCCTCCTCCTACTGAGGGTGGACATCTTCCTGCTGATTCAATGGGCAATTATCCCTTGCTCTCTCCTTTAACAATTCTGGATTCCAGAATTATTACAGTTGATGACTGTCCCCAGCAACTAGTCTTGGTG